GATGGGCTGAATTGCACAAAACGCATGATCGCACCGGCTATTCTGGTGCGCGTTGCCATTTATTTAATTTGTAGCAGCACTGCATGTTTGTTTGGCCTTCTGAAAAGAGGTGCTACCAGCATAACGGTTACTTTCGACAAAAGCACTTGGAACCTTTCCAACCGTTCGAAGTTGTCCTTGGTATACGTTTAAGCATCACGCTTCGCCCCGATGCTGCCACCCATAAACTATGATCAGTGGTGCCTTACCAGAAACAGCAAAAAAAGTCCAACAAACACTGGCAGCTTGCAACTATCACTGAAATAATATTTGGCGTGCCGTTCAAGACACATCAACATTTCGCAGTTTTTCTTCCATTTTGTCCAAACGAGTTCAGTATCAGAAAAAAAAGCCAGTACCTTCTCTCCTTCCTCCTCCGTCCCCCCCCCCTCCCCTCCCGTCTCCCCTTCTGCCCTTTTCCTAGTTGATCCTCTGCGTAGAAAGCATTCAGAAGCAGTTTGCGTGAAAAAACTTTGCTGAAAGCAAAAAATTGACCTTGAAATTGCTTAAAACGTCCTCGCTGAAATTTTCGAAAAGACTTTCGGGCGCAGCAACGCTTTGGCTTTGTTTTAGATATGCTTCCCATTGAAAAACTTCTAAAAAGTTCTTTACTTTATTAATAAAACTTCACTACATCAATAAATAGCTGTTCGCGCTCCTGCCCATTTTTTAAAAATCAAAGCTTCGAAATATAATTAATTCTAAAATCAGACACTCTTCTAATGCCCAGCTGGAAGCACTTCGGGCTAAAACCAGTGCGACGCGAGCCGCTTGTTATGCTGCCCAGTTACATGGTGCTTCAGTTAGCCAGTTTTCTACAATCAGAAAGTATTTATGTCACGTACTAGCAAGAAAGAGGTCGCGCACATGCTTCGGATTACTGCTGGACGCTGACTGGAGGCACAAAGCTCTGAATCGGCTGGTCTATCATAGCCTCGCTAGGTACAAGGAAGATCTCAGAGGTTAACATCGGAGAGCCACAGCGATTCTCCGAGCGGAGTTGCTCGCAGTACTCATTCGTCAACCTCGAATTAGCCTACAGAACTCATGGGAAGAAAATGCAAGCAGCACAAACAAATTCTAAGAGAATTACGGCTACTAAAATCCATTCATTTGGAGGCAGAAAATTTTCTATAATATGAAAATTCACGTGCTCCTGTTGGGCCTTTCAAACGTAATCCATGTTTCTCGGCGTATCCCACCGGAAATAACAGCTCCGAAGAATAATGAAGTGGCACTGGGTCCTCTTCCATTTCTTCGCCATCAAAAACAATCTACAGGAAACTGAAGTTAAAATGTAATAAAACATCATCGGCATGCACATTGAGAAAATAAGGAGTATGAAGGGCACCCAGTTTGCCTATGCGAAAATAAAAAACAAGAGAATCTGCATTAAAAAGCACTGCCAGCAGTATCGAAGTATTGATGGCAAGACGGAGCACGAATGTAGCTCATCCGCTCTCCGGGTTGAATTTATATCTTTTCTACCCATTCGACTAAGAAGTATAACCTTGAGGTAGCCATCTTCCATGATCTCATAAACGGTTGCCACTCGTAATTCTCTCCAGTTATCTAACGGATCCAACACCTCCAGCTTCATT